ATAGCATTTTTAACAATAACAGCACATTTTTAGGGAAAAAAATACAGTAGAGGCCTCATTTGTCCAACATTGTTAAGCAATGACCTTGTCTGGAAAAGGGCATTTTCCAGATAGCAGATGATTTGACATGACAACACTTCAAAAGAATGACCTTGATGAAGATGATTTTAAGATTTAATACGCACTTCCGCTCTGGCTCTCTGGAGTAGTTAAGCTACTGTCTTTGCTATGCCTTTCTTTCAGTGATCAAGACCTTTGGCTGTTATTATCATTAAGATGTCCATAGGACATAGACATTCATGCACAGGGTTGATCACAGTTCCTGGGGATGTAGCTATCGACCCAACTACTGTGCTTTCTTATCTGCACCCTTCTTCCTGTTCCCCTTCTCTTTTTAGATTTAATTTTTCTTATGTATACTGTGTACCTGTATGAGTATATGCCTTAGGATGGGGGGAAATATTCTAAGGAGCCAGAAGTGGGTTTTGGATGCCCTGGAGTTTCAGATATTTGCAAGCTGCCTAACATGAGTGCTGGGAACTGAATTTGGGTCCTTTGGAATCACAACATTCTTAACTACTGAGCCATCATCTCTCTAGCCCATCGTTCCTTTTTAAAAAACTGTCCATATATATTCTTCTCTTGGTTCTTCCTTTCTTTCCACACTTCAGAAAGTACCTTTTCTATTTTCAGTCATGAACACAGTATATGTTCATTCCATGAAACTTGAAATATGGAAAATTTGTAAACAGTCACCTCATACACTGATGTCTTTCTTGCCATTTTTTAAAACTCACGGTTAGTTTTAAAATATACACAGAGAGTATATAGCAGTAGCTGCAGTAATAATATGTGTGTTCTGCTTTCTGTACATAATGTAGCAAATGTCTTTCTCCCAAATAAACATTTTAAGTATAACGTGCCACTTCCATCAAAGAGATTTTCTTTACTTAAAATATTCTCCTTGAAACTCCTGTCTTGGTAACTTCTAGTTTTTCTATACCATCTGGAAGTTGAATACAATACATCACATCAGGCATTAGTCACTTCCCAAAGCATTAGAGGAAAATGAAACCCACACTGAAGGTTTTATGTAAATGCATGGGTGCATGCACTACATAATTTAGAATTTAATAATATCCACTAAGATGCAAATATATTGAACTGATTATTGTGAGACCAGGTGTGGTAGCATATACTTTTATTCTCAGCACTCAGGAGAGAGAGGCAAGTGGATCTCTATAAATTCCAGGCAAGCCTGGTCTACATAATGAGTTCCAGGACAGCCAAGGCTATATAGTGAGACCTTGTCTCAAAAAGAAAAGAAAAAAATTTTCAACACTGTTCATATGCTCCAAAGACAGGACACCAAAGACTAAGGAATGGGTTTAATATACCTATGAAGAGAAATATCATGCTGTTCTTTTTAAGGTTGGTATTGAGCCATACTGCAAATATGTAATGATCACTAAGTTGTGTTATAATATGATTCTATATGCACAAATAACTGTACCCATACACATTGCAAAATCAGAGACAGGAAGGCATGTACATGCATATGCTTTAGAAACATCTGTTGTTTCTTGAACAATAAACAAGAACCATCCCAGTGACAGCCTCAAGTTGGCAGACATTCGGGCAGGAGGTGCATTTACTGTTATTCACCCTGGTATACTAACAGAGAATTGTGGTTGTCACTGCTGCTTTACCATACATGCACACATTACTTTTAAAACCACTGTGAAAGAATTTAGTTCTTTTAGTTTATAGAAAAAGTAGCAATATCAGATATCTACTGTTTTTCTTGTTAGGGTGACTATTGCTATGACAACATAACATGACCAAAGCAACTTGGAGAGGGAAGAGTTTATTGGCTTACACTTCCTCATTACTGTTCATCCCTGAAGGAAGTCAGTACAGGAAATCAAACAGGGCAGGAACCTGGAGGCAGGAACTGATGCAGAAGCCATGGAGGGGAGCTGCTTACTGGCTTGTTCAGCCTGCTTTTGGTGGCCCCACCCACAATGGGCTTAGCCCTCCCCATCAATCGCTAATTAAGAAAATTCTTTATGGGCTTGCCTACAGCCCAATGTTATGGAGGTACACTCTCAACAGAGTCTTCCCAGGGACTCTAGCTTGTGTCAAGTTGACAGAAAACTAAAGAGCACACTGTTTAATCTGCACCATGCCAAGGAGTTTGTAGTTGTACAACCCCATTCCACCCTCACAGTCATCCTGCAAGGCTGACAACTGTTATGTTCATTCTATTGATAAAGCTATAGTAGTTTAGTCATCTGGCTAAGAGTATTCTGGGTAAAAACAGCTCAGATGTTAATGAGAAGACTGGCCTGAGTCTGCATTCTTAAGTCCTTAAACAAAAATAAAGGCACGAAGAAATTTACAAAATTTAACTAGGCTTTGTGGACAAAAGAATTTATTCACTTAGGAAGGAAAAAGATCCCCACAGATAACAGGATGCTAGAGCATATTTTTTTCTGTATCTTCTGTTCAAAACTGGAAGTATAGTACAGTGCTCAGTAATGGCAACACTGGCTAAGGACTGATGTGGACATTTTTTTGTGTTTGCAATGTACTCTTTCCAGGGAAAAAGAAGGTTTCATCTGTATCTTGCTGCCATGTGTGTTCAGGTGCAGATAGAGACTAGAAGAAGGCACCAGATGACCCAGAGCTAGAGTTCCAGGCAGTACGAGCTGGCTGTCAGATGGTTCTGGGATCTGAACTCAGGTCCTCTAGAAGAGCAGCAAGTTCTCTTAACCCCTGAGCCATCTCTCCATGCCAGCAATGTACTCATGTATGGTTAACACAGGAATAACTAGGAAAAAATGTTTCTCTACTACCAAAAGCTTCTCCTGCATAAACCCCATGCCCTCTCCATTTGTATTTCCAGTGTCATGGGTCTACTTGAGATCTCGGGGAACAAACACTGCCATTCCTCACTCCTGACATTCCAACATGCTTTTCCAGCTTCGTGTCCCTGTAGTCACAATCACATGACCAAGTTCTCCCCTTTTCCCCTCCCCCACAACTTCCCTATATATTTACTCCAAGGCTCATCTCTCCCTCTTCTCCATAGCTATCTTTAATAATCCTTTCACTGGAATGCAAAAGAGATGTAGATTATGAAGGCATCTCTAATATCTGGCTGTTTATTTATTATCTGTCTGAGAGCTTCTGGGCTCACTATAACAACAGATGGAAGCAGCCTGGCTGTTCATCAACAAGTGAATGGATAATGAAAACTCAGCATGTATACAGAATAGACTACAATTCATCTCCAAAGAAAAACGAAATCACAAGATTGTGTGAAAACGGATGAACTTAGAATATATAATACTAAGTAGAGTCACACAATCTCAGGAAATATAAACCATTTGTTCTCCCTCACATGTGGTGGTTTGAATGAGAAATGGCCCTCATAGCTTCATATGTTTGAATGTTTCCTAGTTGGCAGAACTGTTTGGGGAAGGATTAGAAGGTATGGTCTTGTTGGAGGATGTGTGACACTGTGGATGGGCTTTGATTTTTCAAAAATTCATGTCGGGTTCAGTCTCACTTTCTGCCTCATAGCTGTGGATCAAATTTAAGCTCCCAGCTACTGCTCCAGTGCCTGCTTGCTTGTCTGCTTGCTTGCTTGCTTGCTTGTCTGCCTGCTGCCATGCTCTGTGATGTCATGATGATGGTCATGGACTCACTCTCTGAAACTGTAAGAAAGCCCCTGGAGTCAAAATCTTCCTTTCATAAGTTTTCTTGGTCATGGTATGTCTTCACAATAACAGAAAAGTAACCAAGGCATAGCCTATATTGTATATATGTATTTATGTAGACAAATGTACACGTAGGCACATTAGGGCATATAAAGAGAAGACAAAAGGGTAAATGTGAACTGATGAGGAATGACAGGATGCAGACATAGACACCTGAGTCACAGAAGAGGGTACAGCTAATTGTTTTCCTAGCCTTAACTCTGTCATTGATTGTGTGTGAGTATGTATGTATGTGTGAGAGTGTGTGTGAATGTGTGTGTGTGTGCTTGTGAGTGTTAGCTACATATGTAAAAATATAATAGTGAAATTGTAAAATCCACAACAACATTCCAGGGCTTCAGAACGACTGTTCTGGTGGTATAGAAGTTGGCTTAACTGTATAGACTTGGGCACATGCTTATTTGATTACTATTGTTACTATTGTTAATTAACTAAAATTACTATTGTTAATTTTGCTGTTGGGTGGGGAGTGAGTATCTGGATTGATCTTGGGGGTTATAGCTTTGAAGCATATTGACGATCTGGAGTCAACAAGCTTGTCTGTGTTTGACAATGATTGTTCATGTTGGATAGAGTAGACAGAGGGGGAAGAAAAGGTGCGAGAAGGGCCAAGAGGAAAAGAGACTCTAAACACAGGCAGTGTAAGCTTGTCTCATCCAAATGGAATCCTTAAGGCGCCTGGGAGTCCTTGCCCCATTCTGTGGCCCTGGTTGGTTTCCAAATAACCTTCAAGGAGCAGGGGTCCTTCTGCTAATGGGCTAGCCGACCCTTGGGTGCTTGCAGTCACTGCAAGGAAAGTCCCTAGAGCCTAGTCACGTGTGAACCAGACTTCCTTGAATAGAACCTGCCATCCATGAAGTAGCTAGCATTGCACATGGCCTCTGAATTGGGGAGGAAGAAATGGGAGATGGGTTAGGGTCCAACCACACTGAGCCTCCCAGAGGAAGGGAGTAAAGGTAACTACAAGGTCAAAGCTGATTGGCCAGGAGCCTAAAGTCCCTTGGGAAAGGGACAGGAAAGTACCTCCTCAGTGGAGGGGCAGGTCTGAAGAGGAACTGGCAAGGGAAAACACAGGCTGAGCTGTGAGGCCACAGAAGACACCCAGGAGAGACAGGGGTTTTGCAGCTCTGGGGCATGCATTAGTCCTGGAGGTTGGACTGCTGGCTCCGCCTAGCGCTTTGTTCAAATTCAAAGATGTGCAAAGAGCTCATTCAGTTCTCCATCATTTCACCACAGCTCCCTTAAAGCTTAGTGGCTTTGTTTTATTTACCCAGCAAAGCCTCTAGCCCAATTCTCGTTCTCCACCTTTAGAAGCCTTATGAATATAGGAAGAGAAATCACTTGCATGGAAACCACAGTCTTCTTGTGACAATCCCACACAGACAGATAATCACACAAATTGCCGGAATTGCTCTCCCAGAGTCCTGGGAGTTGTTCTGTGCAGATTTGTATTAGATTATGTCATATGCGGTTCTTTTTCCTTTTCCTTTAGGAACAAAATGACAAATTCTTCCCAGGTGGCAGCAAGAAAATTAAAAGTACAGCCCATCTGTACTCGTGCCTGAAATGAAAAAAAAAAAAAGGAGAAAAGACAAAAATCACATTTCATATGAATCTCTGCCATACTTTCAAGCCCATCAGCAGCTGAGGAAAAGCCCAATGAGTCACTTCAGCACCCCAGCCCCTGGCAAAAATAATAATTCCCACCACATGCTAAGAGGACCCATGCTTCCAGAACAGGACAGAGTATGCTGGGAACCTACCTGGAGGTCAGCTGCTGTTGACACACAGACAGTTCTTGCGTTCCCTCTGCAGGAATGGGAAAGAGTATATGAAGGTGGAGGAATGGCACTGGTCGAGAAGAGAAAGATTAATCAGCTGGTGACTGGGAGTCTCCATTGCAAGAACCAATGGCTGAGACTCGGCCACAAGAGCAGATGTCCAGTGCTTTAAGAATATGCAAAGATCTAAGAATTCATATGAGTTGTTGTGCCCTTGGTAGGGACACCGCCGGATGCATTTCCGAAAGGGGAACTGCTAATGGACTATGGCAGAGAGCTTAAGGCAAACATGGAATCAAGGAAGAGCCATGAAACAACAGCTATTACCTTCATGCTGCAGGGTGTGGTGTGCATTTTTAGCACCACATAAGGTGGTCAGTAAAGAGTTCAAAAATGGGTTCTAAGTGAACCTTTGCCATTCACTGTCAACACAGCGTGCTGTGCTACCATCAACCCATCCATCTAATTTGGCAGTTTCTAGCACATACACACACTTAATAATAATTTAAATTTTTAATTGACAACAATCATATGACTATGGAATGAGACATGATTTTTAAAATGTATACATATGGAATGGCTAAGATGGCTAATTAACATATGTATTACATAATATATTTTTTACTGGACAGTGTATTGCTGACTAGTCACCATGTAGTATGATAGACCTATTGAACTTTATAATGGCCTGATTAGGTTTGAACAGCTGCCTCTTGGTAGATATGACCAAGTGTCCTTGCTAGTTTTAACTGTCAACTTCACACAGCCTAGAGTCACCTGAGAGGGAAGGTTCTATGGAGGAATCACCTCAATCTGTCGGCATGTCTGTCTGGGATATTGGATGGCCACGGTCACTTTGGTACAGGTAGTCATGGGGTTTATAAAGCCAGAAATTGAGCCAGAGAATGAGTAGTGTTCTCCCATGGTCCTGCCTCCAGTTTCCTACCCTGAGTTCCCTCAAGGATGAATTGTAACCTGGAAGTATAAGTCAAATAAAGGTGGCACACCTTTAGTCCCAGCACTCAGGAGGCAGAGGCAGGTGGATCTCGAAGTGGAGTCCAGCCTGGTTTATAAAGGAAGTCCTAAGACATCCAGGGCTACACACATACACACACACACACACACACACACACACACACACAC